TCACAACACAAAGATATAGGCTATAAATTTTCTTCATTCTCTTCATCCTGTTTAAAGTGTTCCTAGTGGAGACTATAGGCGAACATGCCTGCACTGGCATCGTACACACCCAAGTAGGCTCATGACCAAATAAGAGTTTTGAGGGGGGAGGCAATCTACACATCAGAGGAAGGCGATGTCTTACCAGCTCTGCAGCCCACCCACAAATTGGTGCAAATATGTTTCCACAATCAGAAATAAATTATTATACCATGAAAAATAACTGTGGTGTACCACATAGGTACTAAACGTGCAGGGCATTTTAGATTTACTTTAATTCATATCAAATATTCAAAGCTTTTAAACAATCCCACTTTAATGCTTCAATAATATGAAGATTGCACAAAGTTTTTTTTTATTATAAGCGGTATTAAATCAGAAACAAATAATGTGATATACAGTATTGCAGCTTACCAATCAGTAAATGTGATGGCTGCATCCCTCGGTTTTCACCTGATGATCTGACCAGTAACACACTACCTGTCTAGGTTCACACTAATGTAGCTGATTTTCATTGGAATTTTGTAGTGCGCTTTGGATGAGTTTTTCATGCTTCCCGCATTTTTTTGTAGAAGGAGAATTAATTTTATACACAAAATTCTGCACTAAAAACATGTTTACTTTACATGCATTTTTTGGTGTATTTCCATTGATGTCTACAAGGCCAAAATTATGCTGCTACAGCACCAATGTAGCACATGTACCTTTTCCAAAAACATAGTGCACTGCATTGATATGAACGGACATCATTTAAAAAACCTTGATTTCAATCGTCATGCAATTCTGTGTCTGAAGTCACATCTGAAATCACACAAGTGTGAGCCAGGCCTAAGATTGCATTCACATTTTTCATTGTGCAAAATTGGGCCACATTTTTGTGCATTTGTACTCATTTTTGTGCCATTTATTTGTGCCAGAGGCGGAACCCTCTGCCATCTTGTGCCATGTTCCTTGCCATAGGCCTGCACACAACATTCACAGCCATAGACACTTACATCCCCAAGGAAAGAGTCTCCACACTAAATAGTTTGCTGCACTTTACTGGTGATGTTTAGGAAACAGCATTACTGTCACATCACACTGACATACATTCTGGAGTCACTTGTCATTCACAATTAGTGGGCGATCTGCAGTAGTCAAGTGTCCGCATGTGCAGAACTTTAACAGTCATCTTCGTTTCAGTCTCTCCTCTTCCCAGGGTCATTAGTACTCACAGGACTGTGCTCTCTGTAGTCACCTTCTTTGCTAGGTACATCTTTCTCAGGAACCCTCAAGGGAAGAAGCCTCACACAGGGAGCTCAAAGGTTGCAATTTGCCCTAACCCCCACCTCCATAAGAGACAGACTACAGCTGACTTCTACTGCATACAGGCCCACTCCACCCAGTCTCCTTCCCTGACCAGGACCTATTTGTGCTGATTGTGGGGTGTTTAGGTGTGTGTGTAGGTGTGTGTGTGTGCCCCACCTGACTTATATATGGGTTCTGACTCACCTCTGACATCACTATAGGAAGCTCTACTTAAAAAGGGGCCCAGCACCTGATGACACTGTCTGCTGTAAGCAGACACTATTCTGGTACAGAGCCAGCTAGTGGAAATTGGCTAACTGCACCTGCCTACACATATTGATTTCAATCAGCTGTCCTACACACAGCAAGTAAAGTAGCTCATGTACCTGTTAGAGTGTGAACTTTGTGTTTTTTTAACCTTGCATTTTGCCATGTTTTTATGTACAACAAATGTGTGTCTTTGCCACGTTTGGAGTGCTATTAACAATGAATAATGATGCAGTATGACAGGCAGTTTTGGCATGTTTTGTGTGAGAAATCATGCACATCTACATGCGTTAACAAAACGCTATGGTGTGAATGCAGCCTTAGGTTGCCTTCACTCTGGATGAAGGAGCAACAGAGACAGCAGCATTATGTTGTTGGCTGCAATTGGTCACAGTGATCACATGGTACACACAGGGCCAATCACAGCTCATGTATACCATGTGATTAGCTGTGGCCAATCACAGCTAATCACAACAAAATAAATTGAATGAATAGATTATATTCATTAAAATGCTTGCTTACAGCAGTGACATTGCTATAAGAAAACATAATGTAACAAAAAAAAAAAAAGCTGATCACTTCCCCAGAGTAGTACAATGCTACTATCGTAACATTACACCCGTGTTCCAAATTATTATGCAAATGATATTTCTCTCATTTACCTAAATAATTGATGTAAATAACAGTCAGCATAATTCTCATGTTGTCAACTATTAAGAGTACAATTCAAATTTTATTGAACAAACCTCCTAATGATAACAGTATTTTTTTTAAACATAAAAAACTTACAATGCACTGTTCCAAATTATTACGCACAGTAAGTTTCAAAACACTTTATAGGTTGTAAAGAACTGAAAATTGTCATTTGTTGTGTTTGCAGCATATTTACTGAAATCAAAAGCTATTTCAATCAAACTTTTAACAACATTTTAACTTTTTAAACATTTTAACAGGTCACGTTACATTTTAACATAGGACCCCTTATTTAATAGCAGCTTCACAAGTCTTGCATCCATTGAACTTGTGAGTTTTTAGACAGTTTCTGCTTGAATTTGTTTGCAAGATGTCAGAATAGCCTCCCAGAGCTGCTGTTTGGATGTAAACTGCCTCTTACCCTCATAGATCTTTTGCTTGAGGATGCTCCAAAGGTTCTCAATAGGATTGAGGTCAGGGGAGGATGGAAGCCACACCATGACTTTCTCTCCTTTTATCCCCATAACAGCCATTGATGCAGAGGTATTATTTGCAGCATGAGATGGTGCATTGTCATGCATGAAGATGATTTTGTTACGGAAAGCATAGTTCTTCCTTCTGTACCAGGGAAGAAAGTGGTCAGTCATAAACTCCACATACTTTGCAGAGGTCATCTTTTACACCTTCAGGGCCCCTAAAGGGGCCGACCAGCTCTGTTCCCATGATTCCGGCCCAAAACCTGACTCTGCCACTGCCTTGCTGACATCGCAGCCTTGTTGGAACAGGGTGGTCGTCCACCAACCATCCACTACTCTATCCATCCGGACCATCCAGGGTTGCACGGCACTCATCAGTGAACAGGACTGTTTAAAAATTAGTCTTCATGTATTTTTCTGCCCAATGCAGCCGTTTCTGCTTGTGAGCATTGGTTAGTGGTGGCTGAATAGAAGGTTTATGCACAGTTGCAAGACTCTGGAGGACTCTACACCTTGATGTCCGTGGGACTCCAGAGGCACCAGCAGCTTCAAATATCTGTTTGCTGCTATGTAATGGTAATAAAAAAAGAAAGAAAATTAAAAAAAAAAAATGTTTTCATACTGCCACCAATCAGTGCCTCTGATCGCCCCCTCATTAGTTATATAATGATGCTGTACTGCACTGGTGACAGTATGTAAAAAATTATGATTTTTTTTTGTAATTTCTTCATTTTCCAAAAAATTATGACAAAAAATTACAGCTTCAAAAAACTCTCTATGCCTCTTACTAAATACCTTGGACTGTCTACTTTTCAAAAAAGGGTTATTTGGGGAATATCTGTACTGTGCGGACATTTTTAGGTCGCCAGTACATCAGGATTGATCGATTTTCGGATATATACCATAGTTTGTGGGCTCTATAACTCTCCTACAGAGTAAATATTAAAATGAGGATCCCAACACACTGAGCTTGTACAGGCTGTGGAAAGGATTCCTGTAGTGTGTGTTTACCACCACCGGAGGACGGAGCTCTGGATCCTGGCTGATTACCTTACCACCTGTAAAGGGGATCTCCGGACTTCTCTCATACATCTCCAGGCTGATTGATTTACAGAGTTGGAGCTTATTCTCTTCATTTCCATAAAGATTCCAGGGGATATTTATTATATGCGCATTTTCCATGCGCGTCCGGTGAGTGCGCACTCTTTCCATTGTCTCCGGGCTTTATCAGCTATTCCTTGGGATTCTTTAAGATATACATCTATTTAATTATTACGGACTTTTCTCGTTTGTATTCATATTTTTTAGCGCTGCACTCTGTTTTTATCTGTTACTTGTAGGTATACTGTGATTACCTTTAGTGCCTTAGCTGCTTACTTAGGAGCGCTCACTTTATACCTTTTATTAGTTAAATATTAAACACTGATTTGGGTTATTTTCACTAAAGAAATGTAGCAGAATACATTTTTGGCTACATTTATGAAGAACAATTATTTATGTGCAAACCTTTATAACAGAAACAAAGAAAAACATGTTTTTTTTTCAAAACATTTGATCTTTGTTTAATTAGCAAATCACTTAAAGAGTGGTGATTAAATACCATCAAAAGAAAGTACTTTTTATGTAAAACAATTATGAAAATTTCCTTTGGGTACAGTGTTGCATGACTGGGTAATTGTCATTCAAAGTGCGACAGTGCTGAAGGCTGAAAATTGGCCTGGGCAGGAAGGGGGTAAAAGTGCCCAGTATTGAAGTGGTTAAAAAGGCTATACAGGTTTTATATTTATTTGTACTACATTTTGTTTTTTTTTTTTGTTCATTTGTTTTCTATTGGCTTGAAGATAAGGTGGCAACCCTAATCACATTTAAGAATTGGTAAACTGCAATATAATAATTGTTTGCCTTTGGATTTAATACTGTTTAAATGTTACTTCTGGCACATAAATAATTCCATTTCTACAGCCTCAGGATGTGAATTGTTAAACTTGTAAAGTAATCATACCATTCTCAGACAGATGAACTCTTTATTGACAAAGTCTCTCTGATGGGAATTACTGGAGGTAGTGGCTTGTATTATCTGATGAAGCATAATAAGTTGACTGTTCTTTGCCCAGGCAATAAAAGACTTATTCATTTGTTTTCTGTTTCATTGCCACACCATTGACTTTTCAAAAGCGGCAGGAAAATATAAACCAAATTTTATTTTGTTTCTTCTTTTAGGATTATTCACTGCTAGATATGTCCTTCCTGTTTAGCTGGATCTACAGTGGTTTCAGCAGTGTGCTGCAGTTTTTAGGTAAGGTTGATCGAGAAATTGTCATGTTATGTGTATAACGAGCATTCACATTCCATTAGCTGAGAATTGCTTTTTATGTATACAGTATGTAGTTGGTGTCTTTTTTTTTTTAGAAGGCATACAACATTGTTTATTATTAAATATAGCATATCATTTACATTTAAGTACGGTACATTTGTGGCCTTATTTCATAAAATTATGCAAAGTGCAATAGTAATGTTCAAAATGCAGGAACCCAAAGCAAGCAACCTTTGCTATACTCGTCAAGATCCATGCAGAATGGTGGATATAGAGAAATTTGACTTAGTAATTCATTAAAGACTGATATTAGTTTTACTAAACTATCTTGTGTCCTTGTGCCAAACCTTCATGCCTGTGTGATCCATGCATATAACTGTGGTAGACCAAGTGGCATATACTCCAATATATTTACTATGCCAAAAGCAATATATTGCACATAAAAGTCTAATAAAGAATATTAGTATTGATGCTTCTTATTCATGTGTATAGCTTCTAGCAGCACACATACAATATACTATACTAGCTTTATAACAATGAGTTTTTAATGGCACATTAATAATAAACTGAAATGGTTGTAAAAAGTGTGACCAATAAAATAAATTAAAATTATTCACTGTAGTATACATATACTAGTTGTGTAGGCACTTTATAATGTATGCGATTGTTGCTTTTGACCAGGTATCACATATTGCATGGGGTTCAGTGGTCAAAAAGCAGGGGTAGCAGAGGTAGCAACTGCTAATAGACCTAAAAGCCTGAAAAGCTCTGCTCTGACCTTGATTAAAACTGTTGCCTCTTTTCTGATAATTTCATCAATAGAATCATGGTAAAGCTGAACTCATGGCAGACACAAATTAATGCAGCTCTGTAAATGTGTATTTTTTTCTAATGCAAGTAGTATAAATACCTACATTTGGTGAAAACAAATCTTGAAAGTGTGATTCCTCCACCAAAAAAATAATCAGCCTCTTACCAGAGGTATTGCTCTCAATATCCAGAGCTCAATACACGCTTGTGTGCTCTCAATTGGCACCATTAGGCACTCATCGCCACCATATCAAAGAAGGGATCCTTCCAATGTTACAAATGAAAAATTCCCTCCGAAAGAGAAGATCAAAGGAACCACAATGGTATTATATTGTAAAAAAACTATTTTGTATTAAAAAAACATACATATACTCACATAAGAATTCAGAGCGCATAGCAATCAGACGCCGAAAGCTTGTGTGTTGGTGTGTGTGTGTGAGACGTCACCGGCTAGGCCCCGCCCACCTTGTTTCGCCATCAATCAGCATCGTCAGGGGTATGGAGCAAAACCCCTGATGATGCTGATTGGTGGCAAAACATGTTGGACACACACACATATATGCAGAGAGGCATCCATTTTGATAACAGACAGGCATGCATTCTCATAACAAATCTGAAAAATATTGTGGAAAAATGAAATTGTCTCTATTATGTAATTAATGATTAGTTTGAGAATGAACAACTTGCAGTTAAAGCGAATCTTCACTCTCTAGGCAATCTTTCCTCCTTTCCACCTCCCTTTCAGGAACTATTGCCCCTGCATTCAGTGAAGGAGGAGGGGGCAGGCCTAGTGGCGTGTCATCGGTTAGACTGAGCCCAGAAAAGCTAGTGCCTACGGATGATGTCAAAACAAAACATGGCAGCGCTGGACAGAGTGGTGACAAAACAGAGGATCTCAACGCTGGATCTGCTGGGTGGATGAGTATCTGAATTGTGCAGAAGACATCCCTTGGTAAGCAGGGGTTAACAAAAAAAAGGGGGGGTGGGGAGCTATTAAACAAAATGCAATTTTACTGCCCCTTAACCGATCCTCCTTAAGCTGCAGTTAGTGGACAGGTATGTACACATGCCTCAAAAATTAACCTCCCATTCAGTGCAACCCATTCAACGGAATGGGGCTGCATCCCAAACGTTCCGCAACTACATGCTTTTAAGGGTGTGGATTAAGGGTGTAGGATTATAGGGGTTAAAACAAGCAGTGAGGAGGTGACATGTTTTCTTTTCAGGGTTTGTTGTCTTTACAGACTGTTTTCCTAATGTTTTGTCTGTCTTTGTGTATTGTATGTAATGTGTATTGTATTATATTCTATCCAGGTACTGAATAGAGGGATAGATCCCTGAACTGATAGTTAGTACAAATACAAAAAGTATCATGGACCATACTCAACTGTGTTGTTGCAAATGCACAAATATGACGACCTTAAGTTATGTTTAATGAAACACCACCATATTGAGACATATCAGTGTAAGGTTTGACTGTGATTTTTACTGACAGCATGTTACTTGTTTCAGCAAACAGCTGTTAGATCATCGTATGATATTCTTGGCAAACAAGTATGATCCATCAGCAAATACATTCATCTGAAGTTTTTTGTGTGTGGATAAGTAATGCATTGATGCATAGTGTGATGCTATTTACACTCCTTAGGCCCCATTCACATCATCTTTTTCAGGTGATGAGCCTTAAGAGTTTGTTTTTCACACAAAATGTATGGCTGCTAGCTGCGTTTGGAGTAGTATTAACAATTAGTGGCACTGCAAGCGTTTGTAGCTCCTTCCAGGACTGTGCAGGTGTGAATTGGGCATTAATACTGTCTCAAAATAAGCCCCATTTCTTTTGTGACATGATATAAAAATACTTGGATATTTTTAAGAAAATAAAAGCAACACTGAGTATACTTAGAAACAATGTGATATTATACAAATCCATGATCCACATACTGTATACCTTCAATTGATAAGGTATCACTGTGATGTTTGCTCCCATTGTTGCCAAGTCCGTGCTGGGAGATGTAGTCCTGGCAGTCAGGGTCATGCCATTAGTCTGTGATGTGCTTTGTAGAACCTACCCTCTGGACTACTAATTTGAATGACCATAGAACATTACAGAAGTCTAAGTAGAGTCATAAAATGTAGCTTTTTAAAAGCATTATTTCATTTTTTTTTTTTCTGGACAAATTAAATGGAGATTTAGGTAGGTTATGAGGGATTGTTCCCTATGCCTAGCACTTATATTAAGGTACTTCTGGCATGATTTTTTCACTTCATTTACTGCAGCAGTTCATTAAGTAATGCAAGTGATTAGCCATAAATGGTAACATTTTCTGAAGCTATAAAGCAGATTCAAACAGCAGTCCTGGTCACTGGGTAAAGTATGGTTTAACAGACACAATAATATGAGAAAGATTAGTAGCACAAATATTTGCACAACTTTTCCAGTGGTCTGGATGAATTATTTTACTCAAATAGTTAATTAAGCATTTCAAGAGGATTAGTAAAGCTCTTCAACTAGGCTGGAGAAAGATATGACAGTGCAGTGTCAGATTCCCAGGTTATATGACAGATTAAGTAAATTGCTTAGATTGACCATATATATTTTTGTTTTGTTTGTGAATTTGTTGATTTTTAGACTTAATATAAGATCTTGTTGACAAAGCCTTTCTTTTACCATTTTTTTAGGTTTATACAAGAAAAATGGAAAATTAGTATTTTTAGGGTTGGATAATGCTGGGAAAACCACATTGCTACAGATGCTTAAAGATGGCCGAATGGGTCAATATGTTCCTACACTTCATCCAAGTGAGTATTTTTGTTACTCACTACACAGTTGTGAGAGTTGCACCCTTAATAGTGTTTCTTTTCTTTTCTTTTTTTTTTTTTTTTAAAGGGTAAGTTTTATTGAGTTTCAAAAAGGTATCATACAAATACACAACAATACAGCTTTATACACAAAAGGATCATATGAAGCATTGATTTACACTAAAAAAAGGATCATAGAACATGATAATGATAGGATCATAGGATAGGATAATGATAGGATCATAGAGTATAAGTCAATTTATACAGAGGTAGCAATTTATTAATTAAGTCAATCCAGAACTGAAGGGTGGGAAGGAAGGAATCCTTCCATTTTAGTACCAAGACTTTTTTAGCATAAAAGAATAGTATCCAAAGTAAGCATTTCTGTGAGCCACTCAGTTCTTCCTCAGCAAAGTCACCCAAAAGACACTTATCTGGGGAGCAGATATTTGGGAGCACTAGTTTTGCCTCCAAAAGTGAAGGAAAGCGGACAAAAATCCTCAGCTCTAGGACATGTCCAAATCATAGGAAAAAAATCCCCTAGGTTATTATAACAATTTAGGCATTCCGGCAAGTCTAATCTACCCATCATTAACTTAGAGTTATTGTTTTCAAATAGGAGAGCCTTCAATTTAGATGTTTGCAGAGAAACCTCCTTTAGCCTCCTTGTTTCCAGGGGCAGTTGAACTTCATCCCCTAAATACCTAAATTTGGAAAACAGCTGCAAGGGAACATCTGGGGATAAAGAACAGGCATATGTATTAGCAAAGGGAAAAACAATACATTTACTCCAATTCACTTTGAACCCAGAAAAGCTACCAAACCTAGATTTAACTGCTAGAGCTGTGTCCTGAGATGTGGTCGCATCTGCTAAATACAAAAGCATATCTGCATAAAGGGAGTTTTTTTTTCTCAAGTGTCAATCCAGCAGCCCCAAACATTGAGATCAGCCCTCAATAAAGCCGCCAGCAGCTTTATAGGGAGTGCAAACAACAGGAGCAACAAAGGGCACCCCTGTTGAGAGCCTCTACAAATATTAAAGGAATCAGTAGTTTGAGCATTGACTCGTATACAAGCCACAGGTCTGGAGTACAACAATTTAACCCAGGCAATAAAGTTGGGTCCAAAACCCAGCCGCCCAAAGACAGCAAAAAGATATGGCCACACAATAGAATTGAAATCTTTATGTGTGTCCAACGGCACTGCAACTCTACTGTCAGGGGTAGAGCCAGGGGTTTGTAAAATTGTAAATCATTGGCGAAGCTTAATAGCCGCTGAACGCCCAGGTATAAAACCAGTTTGGTCAGAGATGATAACAAAGGCTATAATCTTGTTCAATCATCTAGCCAAAAGTTTAGCTAACATTTTGGCATCTGCATTAATTAAGGAAATTGGTCTGTAAGATTCACAGTATTTAGGGACGGGTCCTTGTACGGCTTGGGAATAAGGACAATTAATGTTTCCAGAATTGGGGAGAACTCCCCTGTCAAAAGCATTTGTATAGACCGCTAAAAGTTTGTGAGACAAATTCTTTATAAATACAGTAACATTCTATTAGATAACCATCCAACCCAGGGGTTTTATTGGAGTGAAAGGAGTGCGTAGCAGCACATTTCATCAGAAGTAATAAGTAGGTCTAAGTCAGCAGCCACTTCCCATGTCAATACAGGTAACTGGATCTGAGCCAAATATTGCTGCAACTCCTCCACCTCATAATTGACCTGGGAGGAATAAAAATAAGAATAGAAATCTGTAAAGGCTTTGGCAATTTCAGGTTTTTTTTTTAGTTTGTTCCACCAGTAGTAGTAAGTCAAGTTATCGAGAATGATCCCTTCAAGTTCTATAGTTAGGAGAGGATTTTCGTATATTCAAGTTCAGCATCTGAGACTGCTTGTTCATAGGTCCACACCTTCCACTCCGTATCAGATCGATGTTGCTTAATCACATCAGAAATAGAGCCTCTGAGGGTAGCGTTGAAGGCATCCCAGGTAGTACTTGAAGGAACATCCGCAGTGTTTTCTAGCCAAAAGTTATGGATGGAAGAAACAGTAGATATTGCAAATAATTCTTCCTTTAGCCACAAAGGGCTTAGCTTCCACAATTTATATCCAGCTGGGAGACCCATAGAAATAGTAAGTGACAAAGGGGAGTGGTTTCAAAATGGCCTTCAAGAGATATTGTACATCTACCACCCTTGAAAGGATATCAGAAGTCAGTAGGCACAAATCTATACAAGAAAGAGTATTGAATATGAAAGAAAAGCAAAAATACACTCAAGTCTCTATATTCTTCCAGCTCCAGCCCTCTACCAGATTATATTCAGCAATGCAAGAGGCCAATGGGGAGGAACATTTGACATGCATTTTAAACCGTTTAAGCTGTGGAGAAAGTATCATATTCAGATCCCCAGCTAGGACTAGTGATCCCTCCATCACCTGGAGCACCCTCGCCAGCAGTGTATCCCAATATGAGACTGTAAACGGGGGAGGGATATACACAGCCACAAAAGTGTAAGGGGTATTATTACTCTAAAGAACAATGGCAAATTTCCCAAAGGGGTCAGTTACAATCATTTTAAGGGAGCAACAAAGGGTCTTGGTAATTAGGATGGAAACTCCTCAAGCATAGTTAGAATACATGAAATGTAAGGCATGGGCCGCAAATGCACATTTTTGGACCCAGGAAGGTGTGTTTCCTGGAGAAAAACAAGATGAGGTTTATGTTTCTGAAGATAATTGAATACAAGGGAACGTTCAATTTTAGAATTTAACCCTCTAACATTCCACAAAATATTAAGGTTTTGCATACAGTAAAAGCGGAGTAATGTATATGAAAAAAAAGGGGGAAAAGGGTGATAGGGTTGTTATTGACGATCAGCTCTGGCATGTTCCTGGCATACTGGAGGATGGTTTCTTTATCTTTGAAATACAGAAATCTAGCTAGCAAAGGTCTCGAATGACTGCCTGGCAGTGCAGCCCTTAGAGGGACTCGGTGGGCTCTTTCAATGGCAGAGGGCAGAAAAGCTGACCCCCCCCCCCCCCAGAAGGTTTGCTTCAGCCATGTAAGCAGGAATTCTTTTGGGTATTTTCCCTCCGATCCCTCCGGAAAGCACAAAAAGCTGATTATTCCGACAAAGCCTGTCTTCTCATCCCCCAACTTGGCCTCTTGGGATTTGTGTTCCACCACAACATCTTGAATCATGACCATAAGAGGGTCATCAATCATGTATTGCTCAGCATTGTAAACCCAGTGTTAGATCTTGTGCATCATCTTTAAGCAGTGAGAAATCCACTGTAAGCTTGTCAATTTGTGTGGAGAGTGAGACCTGGCATTGCTTAATGGCATACATGATCTGAGACAAAGTCGGCTCTGTTACCTGAGTTGCGGGTCTGCCACTGTGAGATCCACAGATTGCGATGCAGATGTGTGCCCCTTATTAGGATCAGGAGAGTCCAGCCAGTCTGCACTACCCTTGACCCGGGTGGAATCATCATCCCCAGAAGGGAGAGAGGAGGGCTGTGTGTGCTGGGTGCCATCTTGGCTAGCCACATGGGCAAAGCCATCCAGCCTCTTACTGGGTGCCTGGGGTCTCCTTTCTGATTTTCACCATCGTCTGACTCACAGGGCTCCCAGGTTCCAAGAGGAGTAAGTAGGGCAGGAAAAAACTCCGGAGGCTGAGAAGGATCAAGCACAGGGTCTCGAAGCGGTCATGGAGCAGAAAGGAGAAGCTGCTCACATACTGGAATTCAGGCACACCCCAAGAGTGTTTCTTAAATAGATTTGCAAAGGCAGCATGCAGTATATTCATCACAGAAGAAATATGTAGGAGCACATGTATAAAGCAGTAAATATGACTTTCACCAAACATCCATTGTAGCTGAATCAATCACTGCCATTTAAAATACATGCACCAGAAGATGTACCTGTCCAGAAGATATACGAGGGATTTCATCCCTCGTATGGAGATATGAGGGATGAAATCGCTGCAGCATTTTACCAAACTTCTCTAAGCACACTTAGAGATAAACTGTATAAAGCAGTGAATTTGACATTTACCAAATATTCACTAATATTTGGTAAATGTCACATTCACTGCTTTATATATACAGTTTACCTCTAAGTGTGCTTAGAGAAGTTTGGTAAAATGCTGCAGCGATTTCATCCCTCGTATCTCCATAAATACAATATGAGAAGGGCAGGAAAGAGTGGATGGGATCTGTACCATGCTCCTTTTTTGAAAATGGTCAGTCTAACACAGACTTTACCCCCACCTTCAGCTTTGAGTAGGAACCTATCTGTACTGACAGCCTATGGAAGGCTGGAGAATGTAAACCCTACATCATCTCATGTACATGGACATTGCTTACCAGTGTTACCATCAGTCTAGATCTTTGCAGACAGGCCATCTGGGAAGTCTGTACAAAGTAACAATGCCCATAAAAAGTAGTGATTATTTTTCTGTATTTACAGCAGAGTAAAAAAAAAACGAATGCACTAAAATATTTGTTTGCTGGCCAGGGTTTCCTTCAGGTCCCACTGGTTGTGTTCCTCACTGTATCTGAGAGTGGGTTTTCTGTAAGGCAGAAACATCACCTTGAGTGGAAAATTAGGACCTCTGTCTGATACAGAACCTGTAGTATTTTACATTTTAACACCTCCCATTAAGCAGTATGGTTAAGCATTCATACAAAATATGTTTCTTTAAATCATAATAATGAAACAGCAATGTTACAGACTCTATGGTATAATTATATCATTGTGATAGACAGACTAACATTGCGAGCTCGCAGAGTCTTCTTAATATCACTGAGTGTTCTTAATATGTGCTGCAGTTTCACCACAATCACCAATTAGATTAAAATTTTCAGTGCATATATGATTGGTAGTTGAGGGGAAGTGATGTACGTTCTTAATGAGAACATGTTGATAAATATGTCTGTAAAAGATTTGAGAAGTCAATAATTTTTGGAGCTTCTGTGATGGAGAAGCCCTTTTGAGCT